AATTAAGGGGATAATATCTTTGACTTGTAAGAGAGTTGCTCTAATAGCAACCACTTACGAAAAACTTACTATGTGTCAGCCACTATGCAAAGCATTTGGTGTACACAATCTCGTTTCTTCTTCAAACGACAATGCTCATGCTCATTATGCTATTATTTCCCCCACTGTACTGATAGGAAAACTAAAGCTGGAGAGGTTAGGTAACATTCCCGAGGTACGTAAGTAAGTCAAGGAGCTGGGGATTGGATCTAGGCTAACTACAGAGCCTCCATTACAAAACCTACTGCCCCCTCACCAAAATAAAAAAGAATTAAGAGTATACTTTGAAAAGCATTAAGCTATCTAATTTTAAGTATTCCTTTCTTCTACTTCCACTTAATTAAACTTCTAAGATGTGAACAGGTCCACTAATTTGCTTGTTCAACAATCACCTCAAATGTCCAAGGGAGAATCTGGAGCAGGAAAACTCACACCTTCCTGGCTGGCTCTCACAATAGACAGAGAAGTTCTAAGTGGGCTTCACATGTTTCAAACTTTCTAAGTATCTTCTTCCTTCCCTTCAATGTTTTGGTGGCTTGCCTTTCCTGAGAAGTCCAGAGGCCCAGTTTTAGCCAAATCTGAATGTTGGAAGCTTTTCTCTTGAGGAGAAAAATAAGTGACAATCTGGTTCCTTGAAGATCCAGTTAACTCACCTTGTAAAGCAGGAGTGGACTCCATGAAATACATGAACAATTTCTCTCTCCAGAACCTTTGCCAGACTTGGCACAGGCTGGTCTATTAGAAATACATAATTGAATATTCTTAACAACTCAATTCTTCAACCTCACTTTGATCAATAGTTCATTACCTAAGTTAGATCTGCCAAAGGGGCAAACTCTTCAGCCCATTTGTCCCATATTTGCATGAATATTATGCTGTGAATGTTACGCTCCTTTGAACTTCAAAAGAGTTTCCTGGCCTCATTGACTACAACTTTAACAACAGAGCATAATGGAGTTATACAGAAGGACCTTTTCCCAGCTAAAGACCTCAAACCTTGCTGATGCTGAACAGTAACAAACTTTTATGTAAGCAACAAATGGCTCATTCATCCATTGCAACGCACTATCAGTATTTTCGGGTTTCCTGAGCCTGTCTTGCCTCTTATAAGAGAAATTGTAACTATGGCTAATTAGCTACCAGCAAGTGGCAGCACCCACCTTCACCATTCCTTGTGATGAGCTTTCCACAAACAAAGCATTTTTTCCACATCTTCAGATTTCTGAATCAATTGAGTGAGCATCTTTGATCATAATGGCATCCCCCGTCATTCCACCCTGATGCCCCAAATAGGAGAGCAAACAGGCTACAAAGCCCAATTCTTGACCTAAAAGCTTATATTCTAACCAGCCCCTGCAAGATAAAAAACTTTGCCTTCTTTTGGTAAAATGGTGTCAGACAAGGAGAGACATGAAGAGTTTATGACCCATACCTACTCTTACCCATTTTCTGAAGTTTTTCCAGTTGCTTTCCTTTTTAATTTTAGAAAACCCCTCTATTTCTTCATCTACTCCCATACCAACTTGTCTCTAGAACTGCACAGTAAAAATATGGGAAGTAAGATGTACTTTTACTTTAAAAAGAGCTTTTCTCCTGTTTTAAAAGTGAAACTTGCCAATTGTGGAAATTTTGGAATAGACAGAAGCATAAAAGTGAGCAAAAATAACATTCATAAACCTACCATCCGGAGATTTAAAAAAATTAGTTCCCCATTGCATACCATACGGGAATATAAATTTCAGATGGAATAGAGAACTATGGGTAAAACATAAAATTATGGCAGCAGTAGAAGAAAATATAAAAATACAGGGTGAGAAAGACCTTCCTAGGAATAAGAAATCCAGAAGCCATACAGAAAATGAATGACAGGTCTGACTACATAAAATTTTAAAACTTCTATATGGGAAAGATACAACTTAAAAATTAAAACAAGCGGCATATCAAAAATAATATTTAAAATATAAAAGGTTAATAAGTTTTTAACAAATAAATATCACAAGCAACCAAACTAAAAAATAGACAATACACTGAAGAAATAAAATTGAACTAATACATAACTGAAAAGATGCTGTAGAAACAGAAAAGTACCAAGAAAAACTGACAGATTATTTGTCCTATTAAAATGGCCCCGAAATATAAAGATTGATTATAATCTTGGTGAAGGAATTAGAAATGTACTTTCATACGTAGATGGTGGGAGCATAAATTAATACAACTTATATGAAGGGCAATTTGGCATTACTTATCAAGATTAAAACTGAACATGCACTTCGACTATTTCTCACAAATAGTTGAATAAGTGCCTAAAGATGTTCATAAATGCCTTACTTTTAATAGCAAAAACCGGAAACAACCTCAGTATCTACAAATATAGACTAGTTAAACAACCCAGTGCAAACTTACGCAACTGCAAACTATGCAGGCATTAGAAAGAATACGGCACTATTATATTGCAATGTATTGACATGGAAGGATGTCCTACACACATTATTGAGCAAAAGCAAGTCACAGAAAAGTGTATATAATATCCTATTTTTGTAAAACAAAAACTTGTACAGACATGTATGTATAATTTTATAAAACAAAGAAAGTAGTTTGGAAGAACACACAGCAAACCACTAATAATGGTTATCCCAGGAGAGTGGAATGGGAGTTTAGGGATACATGTTCCATATGAAGCTCAGATGCTTTCATGTTGTTTTGCATAATAAGCATACACATTAATTTTATAATTTAAGAAACTTAAAAATAAGTTAACAAGCATTTCTCAGGGCCGCCAAATTTTCAATAAACAGTGTTTTTAATGGTGGCATTACATTACATTACCTGGATCATTTTTGTAACTATTTATCTATGAACTGACATTTCTACTGCTTCTAACTTCTCACTGTTAGAGCTGCAATATAAATCTCTGTGCATGCATATTGTGTGTGTTTGTGTATGTGCATGTATATATCAAGGCAACATACATAGGACATATGCTTTGAGGTTTTCCCTTTAGCAGAGATGATTTTGCATGTCTTCAGAACAGTTAGCTTGGGCGTGGACACAAATAATGATGCTCAGTGGCTCATTAAGGGAAGGACCATGACCTTAGCCTCATCATCTGACAATAAGCCTGAAACACTGGACCAGATCTGGTGCCCTAGGCCATCTGTTACATAATCAATTTGGCACCAATTGAATATCAAAAGGGCTTGGAACAAATTCATCTGCACAAGGAAATATTAGAAAGTAGTCGATTTGGGTTTATAATTTTTTTTTAAGTCACATCTTTCTTTGTCTAAGTTTCATGGACAATATTATTCAATTCTTCATAAATATGAAAGGCTTTCCATAAGAGATGGTCTTCTGAGAGTTACAAGCTTTCCCCATGAGGTCATCATTAACAGGCTATAAGGGAAGTTTCTCTCTAAGACAGGAAGATTATTTTGTATAAATTTAAGGGGTACAAGTGCAGTTTTGTTACATGGATATATTGTTACATGGATATAAAGTCTGGACTTTTAGTGTAACCATCACCCAAATAATGTACATTGTACTTATTGAGTAATTTTTCATCCCTAAGCCCAGCTAATTGTGAGCTGAGCTGACAATGCATGGATGCTTCTGTCACATCCACTTAAATCAAGGAGGGCTTCTAGAAGAGGAGGATTCTGAGATGAACCATATTCAAGCGGTAGAAGAAGGATGCAATTTGAGGGATACAAGAGTAAAGGCTGATCCAAGCTTCCTTGCTGAGATCATGCCCCACTAAACTTCCTTTTGTGTCCCAATCATACTAGATATCACCATAGACCGCTTATGCTCAAAAGCCTAATCAAAAACACTATTAAACACTACTTCTCCCAGGAAGAAGACGACATTTACTATGGAAATTGTAGTGGGACAGAAACACACTTAAGGATGGAATAGGCTTGGCACTGTTCTCCTTGTCAGCAAGCCTTCTGCCTGATCTATTTAACTTATGTGATAAAAGAGATAAAGGTTTAAGTGATGGGCTTCAGATGCTGCTTCAGTTCCTACCATGAATATTTTCACAGCTCCTTCTCATGAATAAGTTCAGTGGAGCAGAGAATGCCCCTCTTGGACCAATTCCACTTTGTGCTTCTTTTGATGCTGTCAAAAAGGAGAACTAGAGCTTAGGCTTTTCCTTCAAATTTAGAGCAAGTATCTACCTCAGAGGTGGCTGCAAGTGGCCCAAAGAAGGTAAGACCCACACTGTGCAAAGGCAGCAAGAACGGAGATGTCGACGGTAACTGATAAATCTCCTAAACGTGGCAGCAAGGAGGGTTAATTATCCCCCCGCCCCCACTTCCTGCCACTCTCTGCTTTCTCCAATGTGTTAGCCCATTACACGGATCGCTGACTTTCTAGAAATATTCCCTGGCTTTGCAGGGATGTTCTTTTCAATAAATGGCATCCAATTTGCTAACGGTCCCTGGAATCTCAATTTCCTCAAAGGATTTTTCATCTGAGCCCAGTTCATAGGAAGGTTTCGTCCTTCCTCATTTTTCAGCGTAAGGGAATAGGCAGAGACTGCTTTTCTTTTTCTTTTTCTTTTTTTTTTCTGTGTCATTATTTTTCATAAACTGAAAGCCTTTGCTGAAGAGTCTGAAATTTGGGAAAATTCCAGCTCATCTGTCAGATATTTCTAGAGTTACGTAAAATGTAATGAGATTTGTATAGTTTACAACAGGAAAGAGAAAATAAGCTAATGTGTCATATGTTCTATGAGACAAAGACTACATGATAATCAGAAAAACAGCCCCAAATTTAGTCGGCCTGATTCAAAGCTCTCATTCTTTTATCAATTCATGCATAAACCAGTAACATTCACTTTCTTCTCTTAGAATAATGGCACGGCCACATTTGGGCTAAATCACAATTGCTACAGATTATAGCCACATTTTCAAAGACATTATAAGAAGTGTATTATTTTCCAAATGCAAGACACTTACGTTTTACTTGCTCTGTTTTGCCTCCTTCTAGGAAAAGAAAGAACAACAAGGAAAAGATGTATTTCATGCCTCCCATTTTCCACTTTTTACTCATTTGGGCCACTGCAAAAGGTGACAGAACCTTCAAGCTGTTGGGAAGAAAGCAGAAAAAAGACTTAACACAGATCTGGAACTGATAGAGGTCACTGATGCTCAGGCTTCTAACCTGCTAGAAAAAATAATGCCAGAGAATTTACATAAGTGTAAGTATTGTTTGCCTGCACAAGATAAAGGACTTGCCTCTCCTGTCTTGCAAAGCTTGTGGGCGAAAATTCAAGTGAAAGAGGGTGCATTCCTATCCAAAGCTGAGGCTAAGTCCTTACAGGCAAGTCATAGGAAAATGAAAATAAATTTTGAAATCTTCCTTTCTAAGGGAATTAAAGTTGATTTCTCAAGAAATTTTTTTGGGAGAAAAGGGAAACTTTAGTTTGCAAAAGCGGTTATTTTAGCAAACAAGGTAAAAGTAACAGGCATGAGACCAAGCAATTTCTGAAATGAAAGTTAACTAATCTTAGCTTCAAGACTACTTTTACCATTAATCCTTTAGGAATGAAGTACAAATTGATCAGTTTCTTGTCTGTCCTCTATGAGATCTACAAGGATCTTTGGTTTGGCAGCTAATGTTGGAAAAGATAGATGTAATTAGCAAATGGATGCAATTAAACACCTGAAAAGTTTTATTGCTTAAAATGTTTCAGACATATTCCTCCCCCATGAAGTCCATCGTAAAATGGAGATTTCAAATGGGCCATTTTTGGGGGAAATTGGGCAAATTAAATAGATAATTTGTTTACCTTGCACCACCATGCAAAAAACCACTAAAACAACTACAGTTCTTCAAAACATGAGATTGGCATTCCCAGTATAAGGAGTAGAAATCTTAAACCTTTTCAACCTTGGAACACAGAAAGTTTGCAGTAGCTCATATCTAGTCATGGGTCATTTCCACAGACTTTAGAGTTTGCAAAATTCTTCCAATGGGTGATCTGAAAATATTGAAATGTTCTAAAAACACCAGATTCAATCTGAATGGGAAATGAACTCATTGATCTTTCCAGAGAGTCCAAACTAAATATTGCACATAAAGAACTTGAAGGAATGCAAAACGATCATTTTGGAGAGCTGAATATGTTTGGGCTCTGAAGTAGGTGCACAGCTACTATTTAAATGCTATGAAGTTGCCTGGGTCATTCAAAATCCACGGTTTCAAATCATGAATGCATAACCAAGGAAGAACTGATGATAGAGTAATTTGTGCTATCAGGCAAAATTTGCAGCACTGTCTGCCTTCTTTCTTTACCTCCTCCCTGCTCCTTAAAGAACCAAATTCTCTTAGGACATGTTCCTACCCATCCAAAGTCCTGAGTTCTGATGTCTTGGTCCCCTCTGTGAGTTTGTGGCCCACTTTCAATCACTCAGAATGTCACTGTCCCTTGAGGGCTACCATGTTTCTTTGAAACAAAACATTTTCATTAACAATTTAACACAGCTACCCACCTCAGTGAGGTTCTTCCTGAGCCTACTCTAATAAGTTTATTCCCCAAGCCTCTGAAAGAGAAAGATTTTTAACCACTTTGGATTTCAGTGGGTGTTTCTGAAACCATGGTTTTAGGGTCTCCCCATGCAAGAATCAACAGGGCTGCTTTTCTTGTACAATGGTTGGGCGATTCGGTGAACAGTAGCATTGCTTCCTAACTCAAGTTGGCAAGAAAGCAGCTCATAGATTTTTTGCCTTTCTTAGGTCCCAACTAATATTATAAGCAAATAAAAAAGTTGGTAACTAGAGAGCAATTAATCTCTTTTGGCGTTCCTGTCATCTGTGTGGCCTCCCAGGCTGTGATGGAGAACATCAGAAAATGAATCGCTTTATAAATATTCACTTTTGATTTACAAGATCCTGAAGTCCTGCCTTTGTATTCTGTGCAGAAATATGAACCAAGAAGAGTTCCCTCCCCAGATCTCCTCACTGTTCAATTTCTCTTTATCTCTTCAGCTTTTTCTTTTGGGGAAGGGGGTGGTTCAAAACATGTGTTGGGACTGCAGCAGTAAACAGAAGCAAGCACTGCTCAGCAAACTTAGCCGACTCTTATTCTTGCAAAGAGCCAAACTGTCCTTAATTTTTCAAATTATACTTTGACCCAGTTAACTGGAGTTATTTCTGCATTAACTCTGTCTGCTTCACACAGGCTGTTGTGCCATTGAACTCGCACTGGCTCTTTTACAGGTTACTTAGACATATAGCCATTGACATGTTTCAGGGGATCCAGGACCCAACAAGAAAGCAACAACAACAAAAAAACCAAAACTCTGCAACACTGGTAGTGGAGGTGGGATGGGAGAATTCCTGTGTTTTACAAGATAAAGAAATGTATCAAGTACCAAAAGAAAGGTATTTATTAAGGTGCTTCCATGAAACAAGTATTCACATTGTTCATTTGCGTTAAGCAAAGGGATCAACTGCTCCTCGCCCAGCTGTGACTGCAAGGCAATCTGGGCCATCAAGTGTCAGGAGCCCACTTTCAGAACAGGTCTCCTGGGTAGAACAGAAGCAAAGAGACATATCCACAGGAAGGATAAGGGATGAACACATGTCAGCCAGTTCTTCACGCCCCACAGTGTCTCTTTAATCCTCCCGAGAGGCTTGACTGACCTTGTAATCTCACATTGACTATCATCTGTGGGACAGCCCCTAGGGTAGCAATTTTCTTTCCGACAAACAATAAGAAAGACACTGCAGTCTCAGGCCCTTGTCCATCAGCTGAAATCCTCTCCCCACTCTACCACCCAGCAAGAAAAGTTCGGTTAACTGGTGGTGTGTTGCCACTGAAAATGGCAGTTTTAACCCAGGGTATCTCTTGTTGGAGGAAATGCCTTCATTGCTGCTTATGACTGCCAAACAATGCCTCGCATTTGGCTTGCAAAACACCTTTCTATCATTTCATTTCATTCCACACAACTTCACCTTCAAAATGGGCACTGGGGGTACACAGAGAACTCAAATATCTTTAGTGGCAGGGCTGGGAGGGACTGGAAAGCAGCCTTTCCGGGCCCTATGCTCTGGCAATATACCACGTTGCTTTCAGAGCCTAGTGTCTCAAATTCTGACCCCCGTAGTCAGGGCCAAAAAATGAGGCAGATGGCCAGAGCACAGGATAGGGAGCCTTTCGCCCATCTACTCTGTTACATTAACTTTACCACATATTCATCAGCAAAATGAGAAAACAGGCTCAGGAACACAGGCAGTGATTAAAGGGACTGCAGAGCCCCTTGGGTAGCTCAGGGTGGAGTACCCAAGTGACCTCTCAAAGCGTCAGAGCAGAGAGAAATGCAGGCCGAGTGGGGAGGGACGAGCTGTGAGTTCGAATTCAGAGACCCCCAACTTGCTTTGGTCAGAAGCCTTGGGCCCCACCTCCATCCAGGTTGGTAGCTGCTGGACCATAGAACCGGCTGGGGTGGCAGGGGAATTTGGGGCACCCTGGGGAAACTTCCAGGGACGGCTCCGACTAAGAGAAGGCAACCCACCTGTGCAAAGGCTGGAAAAGGTGAGGGAAGCGGGCGCCGGGCACTGCTCACTAACCTGGGCACTGGCCTCCTCCGTCTGCCACGCGTGCACGCGCTCCGAGCTCCCCGGGGCGCTCTCGTCCGAGGTCTGGGGCTCGCAGGTTGTGGCGAGAGCTAGAGTGCGCGCGAGGGGGGAGGGGGAACTCAAAAGTGGGTGGGAGGAAAAACATCACCGCCCTCACACCACGAGGGAGCAGCGGCTTGCTTGGCTCCCTGGGGCAGAGCCAAGGCGCGGGCGCCGCGGCCCGGGGCCACCTGCCCGCCCGCCCGCTCGCTCGCTCCCCACTTGGCCCAAAAAGCCGGCCACTCGGCGCTGGCGGGAAGTCCGCAAGCACGCAGCCGCTGCAAGCACGCACCCTTTCTCCGCCCCGGCACAATGGCTTTATTTCTGCTCCCCCGGCCCGAAAGTTTAAAAATCGTTAGAAAGTGTGAGACTCAGCCGGCTACTTTCCCATCACACACCGCCCCCACTGCAGGCCCCCCTCCTTTGGCTAGGAGAGCGTTGGGGTCTTAAAGGGACCGCACAGCTCCTCCGGTCCCTCCTCCCACTCTGCACTGGATGCACCTAGGAGCTCCCCACCACTCGCGCACGCCCTGAAGATACCGACTACCCTCGGACTCCCCTGCCTGGAAGCCCACACCCGCTCTCCTCTGGCACCAAGGCATTTCCGAGGTGTTCACCTGGTCTGGTCCTGAGCTGGTGTCCTGGACTCAGAATGAACTGGCCTCGCAAATCATGCCCTAGCATGCTGCTTATCATTTCAGGGGGTTTCCCAGATCCACACTGTGGCTAGTAGAGTGACAAAGCTTTGGTTTGGTGTCCTTAAAGGCGGAGTGGAGATGGGTGTGTGTAGGGTCAGGGATTAGAAATCCGCTTTCTCTTACCAACTGGGCTCCCAAGCCTCATGGAAAGGGGCTCTTCTAACTGTTAAGTGTCTTGAAGAAAACATGGTGCCACCCACCATACCCACTATTTTTTTTGGTAAGTCCCTAAGCTTCTAAGTTGGGCCAAGAGCTCAACTTTGAAATCACAGTAGCACTGCTGATGCCTTGGTGGGCCTGCCTACTCCAAATTTGTGTTTATTCAACAAGTGATAGTTGCAAAGAATTGTCAGAAACTTCTAAGGTCCAAGAAAGTGCTGCCTTGACAGACAATATTTTAAGCCCCTAAATTTGGAGAAGAAACGCAGGGCTTTTTTCTAGATGAACTAGATAAATATTGATATTCCTAACATCTGTATAGTACTTTATGGCTTACGGAGTGTTTTCACATACATCAACATTACTTTTTACTCTCAAAACCAACCGAACTACCTGAGGTCTCAAGTGTTAAGAGTTGGTGGGGAACTTCTGAACCATTCAGCTTAACCTCATCATTTCACAGAAGAGGAAACTAAATTGGGGGAAGAGGATGATGTGTCTCAGGTCACACAGCTAGTAAATGACAAATTTGAGATTCCAATCCAGATTCCCTAACTTTCAACCCACTACTCTCTGGTTGTTATCTCCAGTCTGTAGATGAGGAAATTGATGCTCAGAGAAATTGTGGCTTGCCAAAACAAACAAACAAACAAAAAAACAAATAAAAAAACCAAAACACTTATCAGGAACAGAGAACAAAGAAAAATTAAAACAAGAATAATTGTCCCTGGATGTTACCTCCTTTTTCTTTTTCAGAAGTGTTAATAGTATCCAACTAGCCCCTGCATTGCTGGAGATGTTTATTTCACTGTTAACAAAGGAAAGGGGGCCCTTACTGCAATGTTGCCTTCAGGGCCCAAAATGTCTTCCTCCGTCCTGCTGCCTGGGTAGCCATACACTGCCACATGCATTCAATTTGTGCTGTAGTATATCGGTTTGAATTTGCTGATTTGTTGCCTTACAACTGTTCTCATGCTGTTTAATGCAGTGATGTTTTGTCTTACTAGATTGTGAGTTCTTCAAGGGCAAGGACTGGTTGTTCAATTTCCCTTGTGCGTGCATTACCCAACTCCCATCATTACTTCCAACATGCTTACAGAGTATTCTGGAAAATGAGTTTCAAGGGATAGTCTGAGACAAACATAAATTCTGGCATTTAAAATAAATAGACTCACTGGGATTTAAAAGTTCGTCTGTTTGGCTACAACCACTCACTCCCCTTGTTTGGTGTAGAATTCTAATTACTGCATAACAAACCATCCCAAAACCTAGTGGTTTAAAGCAAGCAATTATTCTCAATTGGTTCTATTGAGTTGATTCTATTGAACTTGCTTAGGATCTCTTATGCTTATCTCTTATCTCTGAAAGGCTTTCCATTAGTGTAAATGTTAGTCATCCTGGTATTTTGTATTAGTTCCAATCTTGATTTCTGAATTGGGAACTCCCATTTGGGTGGGTCCTAATCTAGAATCCTACCAGGTCTTATAGAAACTTAAGTGATGATTACCTTCATGCCTTATTTTCTCTACTTATTAAATAGGGATGAGAGCATAATATCATACTCATTTTTTAAAAAGTTTTATTTTAAGATAATGGTAGATTTACATGCAGTTGTAAGAAATAATTCAAAGAGATCTCAAATATTCTTCACCCAGTTTTCCCCAATGATAACATCATTCATAAATATGGTACACAACCAGGACACTGACATTGATACAATCCATTTATCTTACTCTGATTTCACCAGTTTTATATCCAGTCATTTGCCTATGTATATAATTCTATGCAATTTTATCACATGTGTACATTCATGTGACCACCACCACAGTAAAAATATAGAACAGTGCCATTGCCACAAAGATACCCTGTATTGCACTTTAATAGTCACACCCATCTTTTCCCTTCCTCTGCTCCCTACTCCCTGTCAACTACTCAACTAAATTGTTCTACATCTCTATAATTTTGTCATTTAAGAATGTTACATGGAATCATATGGTATGTAACCTTTTGAGATTGTCTCTTCTCTCTTCTCTCACCGCCCTGATATAATTCTCTGGAGACCCATTCAGGTTGTTCCTAGTATCAATAGTTTGTTCCTTTTCATTGCTGAGTGATATTCCACGGTAGGAATATATCACAATTTGTTTAAACCATTCATCTATTGGAGGGTTGATTCTAGATTTTGGTTACTACTGCTGTGAACATTGTCTACAGGTATTTGCATAAACATAAGTTTTCATTTCTCTGGGATAAATACTCAACAATATAGTTCCTGGGTTGTATGGTAAATGCATGTTTAGTTTTGCAAGGACTATCATACTGTTTTTAGAGCAACTGTACTATTTTATATTCCCACCAGAAATGTGTGAGAGATCCAGTTTCTCTGCATTCTTGCCAGCATCTTTTATTGTCATTATTTTTTATTTTAGCCATTCTGGTAGGTATATAGTGATATCTCATTGTGGTTTTAACTTGCATTTCCCTAATACCTAACGATATCTACCATGTTTTCATTGTTTATTTGACACCTGTATATCTTATTCACAAATATTTTATCCCAGTCTGTGGCTTTTCTTTTCATCCTCTTCCCTTGAACTTCCACAGAACAAAAGCTTTTAATGTTTTAGGTCCAATGTATCGAATTTCTGTCATATAAATCGTGTTTTGGCATTAAGTTTAAGAATCTTTACCTAGCTCTAGATCCCAAATATTTTTTTCTATATTTTTGTTTGAAAAGTGTTATAGTCTTAAGTTTTACATTTGATTATGATATATTTTGAGTCAATTTTTATAAAAGGTATGAGGTTTAGGTTGATGTTCATAGTTTGCCTATCTTTTTTGTCCAATTGCTCCAGTATCATCTGTTGAAAAAGCTATCTTTCATTGAATTGCTTTTATACCTTGGTCAAACGTTGGTTGGGCATATTGTGTGAATCTATTTTTGGCTTCTCTATTCGGTCCCATTGATCTATGTGTCTATGCCTCCACCAGTATCATGCAGTCTTGATTATTGTAGACATATGGTAGGCCTGAATTTCAAATAGAGTGGGTCCTCCCACTTTATTCCTCTTTTTTAGGGTTGTTTTAGCTACTCTAGGTCTTGTACCTTTCCACATAAACTTTAGAATAAACTTGTCTATGCCTACAAAATATCTTACTGGAATTTAGCTAGAAATTGCATTAAACCTATAGATCAATTTGGGGACAATTGACAGATTTAATTTGCTGCACATTCCAATCCATGAACACAGTATCTCTCCATTTATTTAGGTCTTCTTTGATTTCATTAACAAGTGTTTTGTAGTTTTCAGCATATGACTTATATACATATTTTGTTAGACTCGTATCTACATATTTCTTTTTCTGTGGAGCAATTGTAAATGTTATTGTATTTTTAATTTCAGTTTCCACACACTCATTGCTATTATATATGAATACAAGTAATTGTTGTGTGCTGATCTTCTATGCTGTATGTGTTGCAGAACTCATACTTAATTAAAAAATAAATATGTAAGTCAAAGTATTATGAAATGATTATATACAAAACAATTTTTTGATAGCATAGACTTTTTGCCTTTTAAGTGCTTCTTGTCCCACTGGGACGTAGAAAACTCAGGTTATTAAACTAACTTTCAAAAAATGGCAGAATACATAAAGATTGATGAGTATATTGTACTATAGGTTTACCTCTTTTTAGAAAAGCTGCCACCAACTTAGAGTTTGTATTAATCAGACACTTGATTCAATATATAGAAGTTGACAATTCTCTCTAAAGACCCTTTAGGATTATTCAGCTATATTCTAATGAGTCCCTTTGTTATTTGTGTATGTTCTTGTTTCTTACTGAAAATTTTCTCTGTTGTATTTTCTTCCTGCTAGCCATTTCTAAAACTGCTAGAAAAAAGAATTGGTATGGTTCATCTAATATTTCCAGCTTTCCTCCTTTTGAGCTCATGGTAGGATTTTACTCCTCTTCCCTTTTTGAAATTAAGCATGGCCATTGGATTTGCTTTGGCTAATGAAATCTTAACAAAAGTGATGTGTTGCTTATTTTTACAGTATAACCTTCAATACTGTCTGTTAGCATCAGTGAAAACAATTCTGTTTCCTAGAATTTTAGGAAATTTTAGGAAAAACAAATAAGTAAATAGCAAGAGTAGGTTATAGATTCTCGAAGGTGGAATTAAAAGGAGCAGATTCTCTTTGGTTTAATGTATTCTTGTAAGTTAAGCTGTAACTTAACTTTTACACACTTAACGTTTACAAAAACATTATTTTTGTAAAAAAAAAAACGCAAAATATTTTTTATTTGTGCTTTGTGTTATATCTGAATATTATCTTATAGAAATAATTTTTAAATGATTTTAAGATATTTTTGGAAGCATTTTAAGTGATTCCTTTCCCAAAGAAACACATCTCCAGATTTATAATAAAGGCCATTATAAAAGCAAGATTTGGCTTACAGAAAATTTCAGGAACATATTTATGCTTT